ATATAAAGACTGTTTTTAATGATAATTAAATGAGGATGAATTGGAAAATTAGGAAAGAGTAATGATAAAAAATGACAAGTTCCTATTGTGGTTAATTGTGTGAACAATTATTAATGTTTGCATTCGTTATGTATTTATTTGTCTATTTAACGAACTGATATCATCAATTTTACAATTTAATTTTATAATTTATTTTGCTTTTCTGTAATTCTCGCGATTTCTGGGTAGAAAATCAACGTGTTAAAAAATGCAACAGGCTGTAATTCAACGAATACGAAGCTTCCGTCAATTGTTACTTAATGTCATGCAAATTATTACGAATCAAATCTGAATTTGTTTACACTAGATAACAGAGGTTAGGGTCACCGGAAATTACATTGAAAATAAAATATGGTGGTGCATATTAAATTCCTTAAATTAATATTCTACTGTTTTGTAAATATTGTATAAAACGTTTAAATTATTTCTAAGAACAGAGTGTCGATTTCAGCAGAAGTGAATATAATACGTAGCAGACGATTATTCTTAAAAATGAAACAGAATTAGAAAGAAAGAGCAAATATCCAAATAAAAATTAAATTATTTATTTCGAACATTTTATCACGTAAACCTAAAGTTCTTAGACTATTGTCCTATAATTTCATCTTATTCAGGCATAGTCAAATAAATTCTTTAATCTCCTGCAGGATGCAACAGACAAAAATCAAGATTTTCAGATATAAAAGGGAGCAAAAAACGTAAGTAAGCAAAAAATGTTCTCATTTTGACTTGACAATATGTTATATATTTTTCTAACACAAATATAGAGCAGTTCAAAATTATTTAGAGAATAAAAAAAGTTAAATAAAACTATTTCGTTAGAAAATTCTCCGATAATATAATACAAGTAGAGAATAATGAAATATAAAAATCATAATTTTATTGTAAATAATTAATCCTCAATAATTATTTAGAAATTTTTACATTTAAGCAGTCGAAGATAAGGACTGAAATTACTTTGCTCTGATTGGCTGACGATTCACCGCTGCTCCAAATTGTTACATACATATATTGTATAGCTTGAATGTAGATTGAATCAGTAGTTCTCTGCTGGTTATAACATTTAAAAATTCTATTTCAGAATTGTTTAAAAATATTTCATATGTACTGTTTCTTTACTTTGACTGATGACATATATAAATAAATTTCTTCTTTAATCTACATATAATAGCATAAAATGATCAAATTATTTATAATTATTATTATTTAGTTATTGAATACTATTAATAATCATTGTTATTTTGATAGAAATAAATAACAATATAGTCCAAAAAAGGTTTTTGTTTACTGTTAACCTTTTGCACTCGAAGCTATTTTAACTGTAAATATAAAATCATTTTTTCAACTTATAGTATCTTTATTTTATATGACAAAATGCATTTTATGCATATGATAACAATTTTTTTAATTCAAATTTTATTAATATAAAAATTATCTTAAAACGTGTTGTAACAAATTTTAGTGGTTCCTCTGAGTCACCATTCGAATGCAAAGGGTTAATATATTTTTAAATAATCATAATACGAAACTTTATAAATGCATTTTGAAATTATCCATAATGCAAAACTTTATATAACAATTTAACAATTTAGTATTATACATATGTTCCCATATGTTCTTAACGAACGTACAGTACGAGTCTCCGGTCCGTATCTGTATCTACAGACTTGAACCATAGATAAGAAGAATGAAACGAGCACAATATCTGCACAGTGTTATCGATTTCTTGCGACCAATCGAAAACTCCAACTCGCATACACCTGCTCTTTCCCCAAAAAGTGAAGCATTCAAATACAATCAATGCACATTCGATGCACCGGTTACCAATGAATTGTTAGTGCAAAATAACCAAACCTGAACGGAAATACTCGTCGTAAAGCGCTAACGTACCTCGCATTTGGCAATTCTCGCGAGTAGCGCCATGATTTCAGAACACGTTCGTGACTGTCAGTGGTAACACTAAGCACTGATCTATTATCCATTCACTGAAAAAAAGTCACTGCCTAAAGTCAAACATGAGAGCGAACGTTTTTATCACGGCTAATAGTGGTCTGTTTACAACGTTTCAACGAGTCAATGTTTTTGGAATCGTTGTGATGCAAATCCTCCTTCGAAGACCATCCAAGCATATCTGCATTATTATTGATCCAAAGATTTATTTCACCAAAAAGTTCTTGATTTGATATAAAACGAATAACAGTATATTCTCTCAATGTTTTAAACATTATAATGAAAAATAGTTTCTTTATTACATATATGGCATTAAATAAGTATTGAATTTGATGATACAGTAGAAACTCTCTCATATCTGAAGATTTATTATATTTATTATATTCTCTACTAGGCGATAATGTATCTAAATAATACAATGATTAATTAGTAGAATTTTACGTACTAGAATACGCATTGTAAAAATAAATGTTCGGATAAGGAAGTCTCTACTGTAGTTGAATCGTGGAAGATGTCGTCACAAAATTAAAATATATGGCGGTTTATTTGAAATTGTTTTTAATGAACATGGTATACAACCATGTAAGTCTAATAAAATGAAGTAAGTCCAAATATTTTTCTGGTATAGAAAGATACTGTATTAAAGATTTTTTTAGAGAACATCAAACATCAGTTTAGCTTTATTTTCATATTTCTTGTATTTCTCATGTTTCTTCGAATTCTTCAGAAATATTGTATTATAACTCTTATATTATAACACATTCTATACATTATAAGAAAGCAAAAAGAAATTGTTGATTTTTTGAGAAACTAATTCCGTAAAGAAGGAAAAAGTATTTTCGATTTCTCTATACTCTACATAGAAAAGTACAATAATTAGAAACGTATATAAAAATGATTCGTCTATAAAAAAATAATTTAGTCAGAACTGTGGAATAATCTTCGTTAAAATCAGATTTCGTTGCAGTGCACGATTTCTAAAACGATGTTGCGATGGAAGTAGGAAACTGTTGCGATTGCATACATAATCCATGTTACACGATACGAACATCGTGGAACTGAAACGACAACTGTCGTATTTTTTGGTACTATGAATCCTAAAATTTACTTATACTTATATCGTAATTATAAAATTCCAAAATCATAAAGGTATATCTAGACGACTCGACATGAATATTTTAACACCGATTTTTTAATATAATTTATTGGAATATCGATAATATGGATCTCTTTAACTTAAAAAGTTCTATAAGACGAAAACTTTGTTCATTTCCTTCCGCTCCGTTGTAAAAAGCTCTATAAATCGAAATAAAACTTCCGATAAAATAAAACTCGAATTATTTTTCACAAGTTCAAATGCTTCCTTTTATCTCTGTAATTTGAATTTAGGATAGCCAGATCCTCTAAAAGTCAAACTTTTATCTTCGCTACCTCTATAACTCAAAGTTAGATCGGTACTGATGCGCTAGCCATATCCCTTTCAGCTACGCGAATACATATGTATACTATTAATAATATTACTATTACTATTGTTATTATTACTATTGTTATTATTATTATTAAATGTAACAGGGTGTAAATAAACTGGATTGCCGGGTATCATATCTACCCGAGAATGATCATTCGTTTCCCACTGGAAATGACGGCAAACAGTAAAAATCGTATAAAATTTACGAAATTATTCGTTGCTTTCGAAACTCCTACAGTAGAATATTGATTGCTGACCGTCCCAGGTAGCAAGTACTGAGATGGCTGAATTAACCAAATTTTGTAGATTCATAATGTAGAAACCATTAGCTAAAATGAATCTTGCGGATTTTCGAAAATTTTAATAATTGTGGAAATGATCGTCGTTTCAAAACTGTCGACTCTGTGATCGATAATCCTACGAGACGAAAAGTACGAGTCGAATATTGCACCGAGTGTTTCACATGGATTGCCAGGCATACGAATACGT